ACAAACCCAATACAAGTGAAAACAATTATTTTAAAAAAACTGTTGATCATGGCTTTACACCAATATCTGAAAAAGATTAAGAATAAATTCGGACTTGAAGTGTTTCCAGTGTTTCTGCTGTCTGTCAGATTATTGAGGATGCTAAAACAGGCTTGCCTAACACTGCTCCCCACTGTAAAGCGTCTTCTCTCTGTCTGCTGATTCTCAACTACTGCAGTTGAGGAATCTTTATTGCCATCTTTTCTTGCACAAAGTAACCCTGCCCCCCAAACACAGAAGTTTTTCTCCTTTTTCCCTGTTTCTGTGGATGCCTCTTCCTCCCTCCCTACCACTCCCAGGCCACAAGCAAAGCTAGTGTTGTGGCACTTACTTTTCTTTCTTTGTCTTTCTGTCCTTTTCAAATGACAGGAACTTTGTTGGGTTTCCATCTGCACACCAGCCTGTTCTTTTTCTGCTTCTGTTTACCAAGGCACTCATTGCTAACCTATTTCCTCTTCTCCAGAATGGACGCAGATCATCACCAAGTACCTGTCAGAGCAGCTGCAGAAAATTGCGGAGTTCTATAGACAGCTCCCAGGGCAAGGCTGTGGTTCACCGTCTGGGCCAATGCCCCAAGAGGTGGAACAAGCTTTGAAGCAGTGGGACTACAATGAGAAACTAGCTATGTTCATGTTCCAGGTGAGGGCTTGGAGGGGGCTGCTGGGTGGGTGTGTAGCAGAGGAGGGGTAAGGGAAGTGGAAGCAAAGTGATTTATTTTTGCAGAATATCCCCTTACTGTGAATAGACTGTTAGGGCTGGATGTAGTTTTGAGCTCAGTAGTAGAACAGGGGTAGTACAGAACTGTGCAAACTTATTTCCACTGTTAGAAAGCAAGCTGTTGCTCTGCCTTTCCTTGGAGGATGCTGCTTCAGCTTTTGTCCATTTGCTTTGCCTTTATCTGTGTGCAGGATGGCATGCTGGACCGGCATGAATTTCTGACGTGGGTCCTTGAGTGCTTTGAGAAGATACGGTCAGGAGAAGATGAGTTTCTGAAAATGCTCCTGCCCCTGCTGCTACGGGTGAGAAACATGTACTCAGTTTGCTTTAGGAGGGCACTGACTTCTGCTGTTGTCAGTCCCCTTCCTATCACCTAAGTGGTAACAAGCTGGTTTGCACCAAGAACACTAGAGTGTCGCTCTGAGCATGCTTCTTAGCTCATGCAAGGATACATTTTTCTTCCTGCTCTCTTCTGCTCCTTTCTCCTTTACACAGGGATTACTTGTTAATCCCTACCCATGTCATAGCTGTGATAGTTGGACTCATTGTGCACCACTACATGGAAACTGCTTTTCTTTTTTTTTTCTGTTGCAACAGATTATAGGCAGACCTTTGAAGCTCTGGGATGGCTGGTTGTGGGTACATTTTGATACATGAAGCATTGCCATAGAACATTTAAAGGGTTTTTCTGATGCTTAGTAGCCAGTGGGTGATCAATGATGCTAAGGAGCATTCTGTAAAAAGGGACTGTCTCTACAATGCGGTGCCACACAGTATACTACTTCTAGAGGGTGAAGCATTTCTCTTGTGTTGCTTCTAACAAGGACGTTTCCCCCCTCTCTCTTCCTTACAGTACTCTGGAGAGTTTGTGCAGTCTGCATACCTGTCCAGACGTCTGGCCTACTTCTGCACCCGCAGGCTTGCTATGCAGCTGGATGGTGCTGGTGGGCACCCACCCCACATCCTATCTGCTCAGACAGGGAACACTCTTCCTTCAACTCCCACCCCTCAGCCAGCTGCAGGGAATCCTCCTCCCAGCCCTTTCAGCGACTTACTGCTGTGCCCTCAGCATCGGCCAGTGGTATACGGACTCAGCTGCATCCTCCAGGTAGGTTTGCGTAGTGGTTGGTGAAAGGGGGGTCAACAGGGACAGTTTATATTGTATGCCATCACAGAAAAGTCATTGCAGTCTGAGTCAGCAACTTCCTGAATACAGAAATATCAAATCATGATTGTCAAAGGGTAGGTCTTTGCGGATGTGTTACAGAGCTTTCGTACCAAACGTTAGTGCTGTAGCAGTGTCCTTGACTGACTTGCATAAGAAAAATTGGTTGGAGTAGAGCCTTTTGCTCTAATCACAGATGCTTCAGGTGACTGGGAAAGCTTTACAGAAGAGGGGATGAGAAAGAAAGCATTATTTAATTTTGTGTATGTCAGTAACAGGTTGTCATCTAGGAAAGGAAATTATGCCAGAAGCGAAAGAGTGCTTTGCAATTTTGTGAGTTCTTAAAAACAAACAACCTCTCATCAGAACCATCCATCCTCCAAACAAAAAAAACCCCAAAACCCAACCACAAACCAAATAACCAGCACACACAAAACCCAATCCATCCTGCTTCTTTATGGAAGGACTTCATTGGTTTAGGCAAACCACTCTCCTCAGGAGTGGCAGCAGGCTATGAAAAAGAATGACTCTAAACTCATAATCTTTATACTTGGAATTGATTAAGCCTTGCCTTGCAGTAAAAGGGCAAGGTTGCTGAAGCCTTATTGATAGACGTTTGAAGGGCAAATGCTGTTGTGTCACTGTGGGACTCAATGCCTACTGTCCTTGTGTCAGATGGAGATAGGTGAGTTCTGCGTGTATGCTCACAGTTGGTTTTCTCCTTCAAGTGGAGAGTGACTAAGTCAGGTGGGTCCCAGCAGAAGGAGTGGAGATTGCCCCTTCTAGGGAAGGAAAGGAGCATGTTAAAGCAGAGGAGATTCCAGAGAGTGCAGAATGGAGCAGGAGGTGGAGAGGAAGAGAGCTCAGAGCTTGGAAACCTGCAGCTCAGCAGAGAAACTTGGTATCAGGGAGCTCTGACAGGATCAAGAAGCAGCCAGCCAGCTCTCAGAGTAGAAAGAAAATTCCTAGAGTACAGTTGGCCAGAAGTAAGGATTTCTCTGCAAGATTTAGAGGGCAATGTGGGGGTTACTTATAACCCCTTTGTATTCCTATTAAGTGTTATGTGGTCACTTTCAGTTAAAAAAAAGATTTCTTTTTCTAGTTTCTGTGCAATAAAACATGTCTTTAAATATAAAAATCCTTTGTTTGGGGAGCTTGCTTTAGGGAAAATATATGAGCATATATGCCTCAAAGATTGGTTAATGATGGTCTGATCTTTTTTTACTATGTCTCAGAAGAGCTGTTCTGATTTGATAGAAGAGCTGTTCTGATTTGATAGAAGAGCTGTTCTGATTTGATAGAAGAGCTGTTCTGATTTGATAGAAGAGCTGTTCTGATTTGATAGAAGAGCTGTTCTGATTTGCAGATAGATAAGGCTAAGGCAGAATAAGATCTAGTGGTTGGAAGTTGGAGCTGGGTAAAGTCAGACTCGAAGCAGATGCATTTCTAACTGTACATAATTAACCTTTGCTCAAATGTTCTCAAGATATGATGGATTCTTTGGTTTGAGTGTTTAAAATAGCCTTGGTTGTCCATCTTAACGTCTGGCTCCTTGTGAGCCAGAATCTGCGGGGATGTATCCTAGGAATTGTTCAGTGAAGTTTTGTCTGTGTTTGTGTGGATGGCTGTACAAGATCATAAAAGGATGAAAACACATATATAATGGTATTGTTGTTATAATAATTACTGGAATCATACTTGCAATTACTAAATAATGTAGTATAATGAGTTTGGGTCTATTGACTCATTTCTTCTCAGGCTTTATTCTTGATGAGGGCTGTAAGTCACTAATGTAAATGCTGCTACTTGACCACGAGGGTTGGATTGTGCATTGACAGTGTGAGTTGTAGAAAATGAGTTCTGTTTAGAAGCATCAGGGAGCTCTGCAGCAACACATTGCTGCTTTTGGGTAATGTGGAGCTCTGGTCTTGGTTTCTGAAGCATATCTAGGGGCAAGAAACTCAGTACAGCAAAAATACTGGTTTACTCCTTTCTACTCTAGTATGGTCTTTAGCCCAAAGACACTTTCAGAGCTTAGAACAAAAGAAAAACCCAAGTAGTAAATATCTATACAAGATTGTGAATGCCTGGGAAGTAGGATAAAGGAGTGGTTATTTCTGTAGAAAGTAATCTAACTTCATTGTTTTTACCTTGATTTGCTCAATCATACTGACTTTTCTATATGTTGCAGAGTATAATTTTGTGTTGTCCAAGTGCTCTTGTGTGGCATTACTCATTGACTGATAGCAGGATAAAGACTGGCTCTCCATTGGACCACCTGCCTATAGCCCCATCCAACTTGCCTATGCCAGGAGGAAATTCAGCCTTTACACAGCAGGTGAGCAGCCTTCATAAAAGGGACCTCTTGTTGTCCAGGATAATAGCTGTATCTTAGCTCTTTCAGGATTTTCTTTTTGTGTTGTGTGATAAGGAGAGCTGGAGGTGCTGTCTCACTCCTAAGGAGTTAACTGCTCCCATTCCGCTATAAGCAAAACAGTGATGTCCTTGGAAGACAGGCAAAATCTAACCTTGAGTAGAACTACTGTCGTGCTCTTTGTTTTCTGATAATTTTGTACACAGAACTTCTGAGGCATCCTTTTGTATGTTTACGTAAGTCCATTGCTTTTAGGTTCGGGCAAAGCTTCGTGAAATTGAGCAGCAGATAAAGGAACGTGGCCAGGCTGTGGAGGTTCGCTGGTCCTTTGACAAGTGTCAGGAAACCACAGCAGGTAACTTGCTGGAGGTTAAAGTTTCTCTCCCCCTGTTCCCTTTGCTACCCTGAGAAACTTTCTGTCTGGCTATTTTCTTTGATTTTTCCTATTTGCTGCTGGTGGTGTTTACTGTCAGCAGTGAAGAAAACCTAATGGCTCATTTTCTTGGCAGTGCAAAATCTTACATGGGTCCATTTTCCCGGGTGTAGGGGGAGTTTCTGTTATTGGAAGCTGGAAATGTGTATAAGAGAACTACACTCTTATATGTGTCATATTCTGTTGCTTTCTGTTAACATCTGCTGTTGGCCAACGTGAAGATACTAAGCTAGGTGGACCCTTGCCTGACTGACTGGTACAGTTTTCCTTAGGCAGTCTCCTGAGGAATGAGTTCACAGAAACTTTTGCTCCAGAGTCTGTCGTACCTGTTGCCAAATATGCATTTCTCTTCTCTTTTAGGTTTCACTATTGGCCGTGTCTTGCACACTTTAGAAGTTCTGGACAGTCACAGCTTTGAAAGATCTGACTTCAGCAACTCTTTGGATTCCTTGTATAACAGGATATTTGGGCTTGGTCCAACCAAAGACAGTCATGAGGTGCCTTGGGACTTTGCTTGCTGGGCCCTGGGCTTGGATGTGGCTATGTTCTAGTGTATATTCCACAGATACTGTCCTGTGTCTGCAGAGAGCTGATTAGGTGGTGGCCTTTGGCCAAGAGATGTGATCTTTTAAAAGGATTTCGTGCAGCCTTAAGTTAGGGAGGTACTAAAATGAGAATGGAGGGATCTGTGCTCTAGAAAGTCTATGCTAACAAATACACGTAAGCTTGAGAGAATCCACACAGCTAACTGAGGAGAGTCTCCTCATGGAAGGCATCAGTCTGGACAGCAGATTGATGATAAAGACATGTTACGTGTCTGAGAGAAGTAAATGCTAGCCTTGTCAAATTCTGGGCTGGCAGCTACTTCCTGGGAGGCTGAGAGCTCATGATTGAAGTTCCTCTTAGCCTAGGAGGTTACATATTTATGATGTGTAGCACCATAGTGGAACCAATACTGTGTTGGTTCCTGGAAGTGAGCTGCAGGACTGGTAGTTTGCGTACTTTGTATAATGCTGTTGAGAAGCTGTGTTTCGCTCTGTGCTAAGATTAGCAGTCTATAAATGTGCTGCTGGAAGAGAGATGATTTTCTGAAGAAAAGCAGCCTGGAGATTTGTGAAGAACTGTGGATCACCTCATGTTGCAAAGTGGAGTCAAAGCAGGAGGGCTTTAGTTTGACGTGTTCTCCATGTTTGGAAGAGAGGAATGTAGTGGTCTTCAGGCTGTTTTCTACTAGAAGGAGACTCACTGTTATATCCAACTTGAGACCTGAGGACTGCTCACTTCTTTTGTTTGGCTCAGGTTGTCACTGTAGTGCTTACATCTCAACAGATCTCCCCAGACGATGATGCAGTGGTGGCCTTGCTGTGCGAGTGGGCTGTCAGCTATAAACGCTCTGGACGCCACAGGGCTATGGTTGTGGCCAAACTCCTGGAGAAGCGTCAAGCGGAGATAGAGGCTGAGGTAAGTCCTTATTCCTGGAAGGCTAGCAGCGGTGAAGGAGAACAGAGGATACCTAACTATGATTATTTAACTATTACACTGAAAGGTAAAGGCTGATAAGCACAATGTGTCTTAACACTGGTGCTGTTAATTATGGCATTTGCTCCATCTAACCCAAAGTAGGTCATAAATGAGCCTGTGGGATGGTATGTATCCCATTCCTTGGATACGTTTGAAGACAAGTGATTGCAGTGTGGAACTACTGGCATACTTGGAGACCGTGAAGTAGCTTACAGAAACCTGTGTGGTGACTTTCTTATAAGTGCAGGATAGGAAAATTCTCTTGAGGATTCTTTTTTGAGTTTTATGGATAGTGAGTTTCTCCTCTGTGACAGTGGTCGGTTCTTTGTTTCTACAGAGATGTGGGGACTCTGAAGTTGTGGATGAGAAGGGCTCCATCTCCTCAGGCTCGCTCTCAGCAGCCAGTGCTCCTGTCTTTCAGGATGTCCTTATGCAGTTCCTTGACACTCAAGCTCCTATGCTAAGTACATAATAAGAACTTGTGGTCTCCTAGTTTCTGGCTTTCTCTCTCCTGCAAACTTTGAATTTGTGTGCTATTCGCCTGCGTGTAGATCTTGGATGTACCTAAATTCTCTCTCTGGCTTCCTTGTGATCTAGAGCATACCTTGGGGAGGGAGGGAAAGCAGCCTGGAGGGTAAGATGATAGAAAGATAATGGAGAAGCACTGCTGTTAACAGAACATTGGCCAAGAATAAATGAGTGTAGCCTAATTAGGAAATAATTCAGGCTGAGAACTAGAGGGAGGCTTCTAACTAGTAAGTGACAAAGCTTTGGAATAGTCTCTCAGTGGAAGTACTTCAAACAGATTAAAGGGGGACAGGATACAACTCTGAATGATACAGGCAACTGTTTGTACACACAGGAATGGCACTTCCAGGCTCAAGTCCTGTGCCTCTGGTCTGAGAGACTAACTGGAGAGCTTCTGACTTAATTGCCACCTCTTGAAACTGGGCTTTCTGCTTTTAGTCCCTGCTGTAATCTCAGAACTTTGTATCAGTCACTTCCTATGTTGAGATCTCTGGAAATGCTTTCTCTAGCCCTAGGTTAGGTGGCTGATGTTGCTCAGAGTGTTGCAGAAGAACTCTTGTAGCCCTGACTGTCCGTGCTGTCCTTTCAGCTGATCCTGGGAAGGAAAATGAGAAGGTGGAATTCTTTAACCTGGTGCTGCTGTTCTGTGAGCTAATCCGACATGATGTCTTTTCTCACAACATCTACATGTGCACGCTCATTTCCCGAGGTGATCTTGCCATGGATTCTCATGGGCCACGCCCACCCTCGCCCTTTGATGACCCTGCTGAGGAGCATGACAGGAAGGAGACGGAAGGAAACAGTGGCATCAAGCTAGAGGTGAGAGCACAAGCACCATGGCCTCCCTCTGTGTGTCCCTGTGTTGTGCTTGCTCGTTCTTACCAGCTTTGCAACCTCCTTGCTATTACCTGCTGGAGAATGTACCAGCGACTCATGCTTTTTGTTCCTCCAACCTAGTTCAGTTTCAAAAGTAGGTGACTATGTTCTAAGTGGCTGGAGAGGGCCTGCAGATTGTGAAGGGGCAGATAGGAAAATCTTGCACTGCTTGGAGCAGTGCAGCATATCATGAGGTGCTGTGTAAGGCCTTTCCATGATATTTGCAGTGTATTAGTCTCCAACCTGCCAGGTACCATGGGTGTGTTGGCATATTGCTGTCACTGTCTGACATGGACATCGAGTGCTGTTGTAAACAATTACTCTCCTGTTCTCTGCTGCATCACTGAGATGTAAAGCTGCTGTGCCTGTTCCCAGGACACAGGTCTTTCTGAGCCCATGGACATTGACCACAACTCCAGCATGCTCTTTGATGACATGGAGAAGACAGACTTTTCGGTATGTTCCTGGATTTTCTATCTGCTACTCAGTAAATAGGTAAACACGTAGTGGGACCAGGGACAGCATGTGCCTTGCTTTTGTGTGAGTACTCCCTCTCTACTGTAGAGCCAGTATGCTGGAAGTGGCTGGGTTGTAAGGCAGCTGACGCTGTAAAAAGGTCCATATAACCTGTTTATGCAGGTTGGGGTCTATCAGAGCAGGGTGAGTCCCAGTCATTCCTGGGATCTCTTACACTCTGGCCACTGCCAGCCCAGTGTTTGGGCAGGGTAGGAAGTGGGCTGCTTGGATGTGGATGGGAAATGGATGACCGCAATAATACCAGGAGATTGGGAGTAACCAGTTATTGTTGACAGGGATTTTCTTGATCACCTGGGAGAGCACACAGGTCTGCTATCGTCATACTATGTGGCCTCCAATACTTCTGCAGTTTCATGGTTCTTCATAATATTTGTGGGCATAGTTCATGGTTGCAGAATGCTTTGAAGCGCTTAGTAATAAAAATAACTTGTGGTCGTTGAAAAATCCCTCAGTACTGACATTTCTTTCAGCCATTTCTGACCTTTGAAGGTACATATTAGACAGGTGTGATGTGCAGAGCTATGTGGCTTTCCCAGGATCCCCACTTGTTCTGTGGAGGTGGTTGTTTCCAAAATCCTAAGTTGTGATTATTTCCTATAGTTTTTAACTCAATATACAATACGGACCAGAAGCAGAAATGGGAATAGTGTCGTAGCACATTGCCTTGGTCATTGCCCTGAGAACTGGAACTCTTCCTGTTCCTTTTTAGGCCTGAGCAGATGTACTTTCCTTCAGCAATTTTCACTGTTGCATGACCATGTTCCCTAACTATCTTTTCTTGTTCTTATGTCTCCCTAGATGTTTTCTCCTCCAATGCATTGTGAATCTAAAGCCAGCCCTTCCCCTGAGAAACCAGATCCTGAAAAGGAAGCAAAGCCTTTGCTGAAGGATAAGTCTGTAGAAGGAATGCTAGCATCCCTGTATGACCAGCCTCGGCATATCCAGTATGCAACACACTTTCCTATTCCTCAGGTATGAGACCTGCTTATAACTGCTCCCCTCTTGCTGCCTTGTGCTCCAGTCAAGTGGCTGCTGTGTTTCCCTGTGGTACTGCTGTGAGTGGGTAAGGAGCACTCACGCTTTCCTGCACTGCTGGAGGAGGTTATCTGCTTAAGGTCTCCTTGCTTTACTCCCAGAGCAACTTCTGAGATGAATTTTTCTTTTTCCTTTGAGAGATCAAGATGTGAAACAAGATTAAAAGCTTCATAGTTGCTAATGCAGTTGTCTCTTTTGGTTCCCTAGGAAGAGTCATGCAGTCATGAGTGTAACCAACGGTTGGTAGTTCTTTTTGGAGTTGGAAAACAACGGGATGATGCTCGGCATACGATCAAGAAAATAACCAAAGACATTCTAAAAGTCTTAAACAGAAAGAGCACTGCAGAGACAGGTTAGTAGAGCTTGAGCCACTCCTTTCTGAAGTAGAGTGTCTTTCCAGTTGGCTGGCTCCTTTGTATTGAGTTTCACAATGAAAGGATTTTATATAAATCTCCAGTGCCTGGTAAGCTGTATCAGTTAGACTCTGGAATGGTGCTCTGTTCCCAAACATACTAACCAGCCAGTAAGACGATTGGTTTCCTGCAAACAATATCAGAGGATTAAGTCATATCAGGTTCAGAGTGAGACCCTGGCCAAAACTTTGACTTTTCAAATTTTATTTTTTTTTAGTTCTTGCATTTAGATCCTTGCACAAGAAGCAAAGAGGACTTTGCTTATGTGTATTCAGCAAAGACCTTGTTTAAATGTCATATGCTGTTATGCTTGGGGTACATGCTAAATGCATAGGATGGGAAATTTGGATAGCTGTGTCAAAATCAATAGAAAGCCTCTGACTTCTGTCAGCTGAGAATCTGGCTACAATTTTTTTTCTGTCTTAATGTGATTCCTGAAAGGCGACTTGAAATGTGATAGATGATTCTTTAAAAGATGAGGTGGTCTGGCAAATTTTGAGGCTGAACATCTCCAATCTAGAATATCTGTTCTCCTCAGGGAATCAGTGTACCTTTCAATAGAGAGAAAAAGTATTTTCCCCCTCCAAAGAGTACCTTCACTTGGGATAAACTATATGTTTACCCTACTCTCATTTTCAGGTTAGGAATTTCCTCAGCAGTTTATTGTTTTGAATTCAAGATGGTCCTTAGCCTAAGGTTTGGGACCCAGGCTTTTTGGCTATGCTGCATGGCAAGGGCTGGTCTTGCTGAGGGACTGGCAGGTGCTGATGGCTGATGTCTAGCCCTCCTCTGATGAGGAAGGTACCCTAATACTATTTTCTGATCCTCCCAACTTTGGTAGGTGGAGAGGAAGGCCAGAAGAGGAAAAAGAGCAAGCCAGAAGCATTCCCAACAGCTGAAGATATCTTTGCAAAGTTCCAGCACCTTTCTCACTTTGATCAGCACCAAGTCACATCTCAGGTATGAAACTTTCAAGGCTGCTGTCCTTCTTGGGCCCTGACTGTCACCCTTTGTTACTGAGAACAGCTTCCTGGAGGGAAAGGGAGATGGACCTGTTGAGGGACTTCTGCAAGGGGAGATAATACTGTGTGTCATCTTGCACTTGCAGGTATCTCGCAATGTCTTGGAACAGATCACCAGCTTTGCCTTGGGAATGTCATACCACCTGCCTCTGGTACAGCACGTGCAGTTCATATTTGACTTGATGGAGTATTCACTCAATATCAGTGGTCTTATCGACTTTGCCATCCAGGTAAGTGCAGTGTGCTCAAATGCTTCCTGGGGCAGGGTTCATCAACCTGAAAGGCAGCAGATCTGTGGTGCAATAGTTGGGCTGTTCCTGGGGTCATTGGTGACCTTCTGACCTGTGTCATGGAGGTGATCAGATTAGGTGGTCATTGTCACGCTCCTGCAGCTGTTAGGAATAGATTATGGTAGGTAGTCTTACATGTTCTGAGGATTATTCTTCCAGAAGTTTCAGGGTTGTCTCCAAAGGACCTGCATTACATCTCTCTCCTTGGCTGCAGCAAAGCTTTATTCTGAGTGAGAAGGGGATTGGCTGCCTCTGGCAGCTCCCCAGCCTCATTCCCCTGGAAGGATCCTTGGCACAAGGCAGCGCAGACTGCCTTCTGTATCCTGCTAAAATCCTGTTGCTGTTTCTGCAGCTTGTGCCAGGTGTCTCTTGAAGCCCTGCTATGGTTGCTGACGGATTTGAGGCTGTTAGCCTTAAAAAGGGAGCCGAGCGAGATTTATGCAGGACAGAATTACCGAACAAGCTGCCTGCTACTGTCTCTGATCGTATCCCAGTCGCCCTCTGATACCCAAGCACTGACAGCCCCTTGTACTGTCTGAGTGAGACTTTGTGCCTAAGCATGGGGGGGTACATCTGTAGGCAGAAAGTGCCTGCCAGTCCCTTTTCTGGCAGGTCCTATAGGCTGTGGGTGTGGTGTGCCTGCTCCTTTTCTGACCATACCTTACCCCTGTGGCTGTTGAAGGGTTTTTCTGTCATTGGGTGCAGTTGCTGAATGAACTGAGCGTGGTGGAGGCAGAACTGCTGTTGAAATCCTCTGACCTTGTTGGTAGCTACACCACCAGCTTGTGCCTGTGCATCGTGGCTGTGCTGCGGCACTACCACTCCTGCCTTATATTGAACCAGGACCAGATGGCTCAGGTCTTTGAAGGGTAAGGGAATCTTCCCCTCACCATGTGGAAAGAAGCAATGTATCTTCTGGGGGCTTGTAAGGGGTAGGGATATATCTGTGTCTTTGCTAAAGGGCAGCAACTTTGTGCCTGAGGGTTCAGCTCACAGAACTTGGAGGGTATGGGATATGTTGTCCAGTGAGCACTGTTACTGTTGTGAACTCAGGAAGGTATCTATGTAACAAGGTTTTTCCTTCAGATTTTCTTTTCATGTTGCTGCAGCATTTTTTTGTCTCTATACAGTCTGTGTGGCGTGGTGAAACATGGCATGAACCGCTCAGATGGCTCCTCAGCAGAGCGCTGTATCCTGGCATATCTCTACGACCTCTATACCTCCTGCAGTCACCTCAAAAGTAAATTTGGGGAGCTCTTTAGGTGAGTCTGAGGCAGGTGGGATGCAGTGGGTTCTGACCAGTATAGCACCTTGGCTTAAGCTTTGCTTGTGATCTTGTTTGATGGAATTGTTCCTGAGATCCTCTCAATGGGGAACTGAAGTCTTGGGAGTAATGCCTGTTTTACAGGCAGTAATGACCCAGTGTATAATCTTGACTCTTAGATTGTCAAGTTGATTTTTGTAAATTACCTTCAGTACTCCTCTGCACCTCCACAGGTCTATTCTTACACCACTCCTAGAGAACAGAAGTAGAGATCTCTTCCTACCAAACTCTGATGACTGAACAGTTCATTCTAAAGGTTGTTCCCTGCTTGTACTCAGCTCCCTAATAATCCTTGGACTGCTTCTGAACTGGCTGTTTGGTTCTGGGTTTGTTCCTGTGCTACTTTGCACTCCTTATACTTGTTCTGCCCCTGTTCGCTCTTCAGGTTCTGCTCTACTGATGTTGCCCCCAGGCTCTGGCCTGTGGGCTTACTTTACTCTGTGGCCTTCTGCCCTTTGCAGCTCTTCTCTTGAGAACTGTCCCCCCACTAGCTCACTGTGGAGCTCTTCTCTTGGCAACCCAGAGATGGAGTCCACAGGTTTTCCTATTTTTTTTTGCTCACGTGATCCTGTGAAGGGATAATTCTCCTGACAGTCCTGTTTCCCAGTACAGTGCTTCACTTTGTCTTCTCTCGCAGCCCCTGCTCCCTTTTAGTGTTTCCAGCACAGGTGTGCCACAGAGACATCTAACCTTTAGTGTTACCCCACGCATTGAGGGGCTGTTAGAGTGGCTTGTGCCTTGGTGTCAGCTGGCTAAACTCCTGGCTGCTGTGAGCCTTTGAAGTCTCTCTCTGGACTGAATTGAGAGCAAGAGAGAGTGCTGTGGTCACAGGTGCATTGGAGTTCTTTGAAGAAGTCATCACACATACATAACTGAGAAACCTGATAGTAGTCTGAATTCCCAAACGTCGTTCAGCGAGGCTTTAAAGTAAATGGCCACAGATCATAGAATCATAGAATGGTTTGGGTTGGAAGGGACCTCAAAGATCATCTAGTTCCAACCCCCCTGCTACGGGCAGGGAATAAGATGAAAGGGAATATCCTCTAGCAGGTAAACAATAGGTTAGAGATGAAGACAAGGAGTGGGAAGGAGTTTGTATTTTGAGGGTGATCCCTCCCTGAGGAGTCCCATTGGACTCTGCTTAGTGCTTGTGCTGTTCTGTGCATTGGAAGTTGTATGAGTGGTGATACCAAAACTATTCATAGAACTGTTATCCAGCATATAACAGTAGAAGGTGGCTGCAGATTGTCGTAGGAGGGCACAGTGATGGTGACTGTGCAGGTGATAAGACTAAACTTCATCTGCCAGTTTGTTAAACATAAAATAATGCACATAAGATTGTCCTTGTTCCCTTCCAAACTTTGTGTAGTGATGGATATATACTACTGGTTGGATGAAGGATCTTTGAGTTGTAACAGATACATAATTGAAAATGTCATCATAGTGTTAAGTAGCAGTCAAAAGGCAAATTAAATCATAGGTGTTGTTTGGAAAGGAATGGAGAACAGACCAGAGAGCATCATTGGGTCGCCATTTAAGTCATGGTACAACTGTGCCTTGCAGTTTGGGGCAACAGACTCCAACAAGCATGTAGTAGAGTTAGGCCCAAAGGAAGGTGAGTGGATAGATGACCAGAAATTTGGAATGACTTACTTCTGTGGGTAGGAGATTCAGTTCCTCTTAAGAGGAGGACTGAGGGGGAATGATAGAAGTCTGTAAAGTTCTGGTTGATAAGGAAAATAAACTGAACGTTCAGTATGTCTTACAATACAAGCATGAAAAGGAATGAATAGAGAATGGTAGGTTCAGAACGAAAGAATAAACTTCGTAGTTCTCATAGTTAACACAGAACTCATTCTATGTTGTGAATGTCAAAAATCTACTGGATTCAAAAAGTAGGTGGACAAATTTGCAGGAGGAAAATCTTTTGAGGACAGCATTATCTTTAAGTCTGAAAATCTGTGAGCCCTAAGTTGCAGCAGGGTGGGGATGGATGCTGGAGCAGGATTGCCACGTGCGTGCCTTGCTCTTAAACTCTCATCTGGGTGTCAACTGTTCTGACACCAAGGGCTGAGCTAGGTGTTTCCTTGATCTCACTTGGAATAGCCATTCCCATGCTACGTTCACTGAGCCCACAGGTAACTTCCACGTGCTTCCACAACAAAGAACCAGCTTCACTCTTTTGGGAGAGTCTTTGTTGGTACGTAGTGATCTTGAGTTTCCACATGTTCTTGCCCAAGGAGGAGTTGTCTTGCACAGGATTGCATCTCTTATCAGAGTTCAGTGGAAGTTTAGGTTTTTGTGTTCCTAATCTCTCTTTCCTGTCCTGTTTAGTGACTTCTGCTCCAAGGTGAAGAACACAATCTACTGCAATGTTGAGCCATCTGACTCCAACATGCTGTGGGAACCAGAGTTCATGATTGACACTATTGAAAACCCATCTGCACATAATTTTACATACACCAACCTGGGCAAGAGCCTCAATGAAAACCCAGCCAACCGTTACAGTTTTGTCTGTAATGCACTCATGCATGTATGCGTGGGACACCATGATCCAGACAGGTGAGAGGCAGAACTTTCATGGTTCTGCTGAGATAGTAAAATCTTTAGGTTAGGGTACGAAAGCCAGTAGCTGTTCCTTGGCTGTCTTGGGGTGTGAGGAAGAAGGAGCCAAGGCTGGTGTCCCTTAGAGAATCACTGACCCAATGGCATGCATGAATAGCAAAGTTGACCCTCTGCTTTTTTTCATTATTTATTTAACAGGGTGAACGACATTGCTATCCTGTGTGCTGAGCTAACTGGCTACTGCAAGTCTCTAAGTGCCGAGTGGCTGGGTGTGCTCAAAGCTTTGTGCTGTTCCTCCAATAATGGGACCTGTGGCTTCAATGATCTCCTCTGCAATGTTGATGCAAGTGCAAACATTCAAAAGGGGAAAAGGAATTGAAGCAGGAGTGGAGGGATGCCTTGGGAGAAGGCAGAAATGAACACGGGATGGAGGCTTTGTCTTCTGAGGACAGGGGAAGGGCTTTGAATACCAGGGCTACCTTTTGGTATTTGTTGTAGCCTGGGCTGATCATGGACATTGACCTGGGGTTATGGGCCCTTCTACCCCTCAGCTCCTAGGCAAGCTGAGGAATTACTGACAGAGGGAATGAGGCAGAGGCTATTGTCATCACTGACTGATCTCTCCTCTTTCAGGTCAGTGACTTATCTTTCCATGATTCCTTGGCCACCTTTGTTGCTATTCTCATTGCCCGGCAGTGCTTGCTGCTGGAGGACCTGATTCGCTGTGCTGCTATTCCCTCACTCCTCAATGCTGGTAAGTGCATCCCTGCAGAAAGCTGGTCTTAGTCTCAGTTCTGGCCCAAAGGCCTGTGCTTAAGGTATACTTTGTGAACCCCATAGTTGTGAAACATGCCTCCGATACAACTTTTATAGTATGGTGGTACTTATTTTTTTTGCTTTAGAGAGTTCCTGGCCTTTTGTTTTCTATCAAAAAGTGGTGGTGCTAAGGTTCTTCAGTGTCCTGCTCTCTTGAGTTTGTGTGCAAGCTGAAATAATCATACAGAGATGTTATCAGCCACACTGTCTGACCAGTGTACTCAGCTCTGAACTCCCACTGCTGATATGGTTCAGCTTAGTGTTTCGGCTAGAGCAGCCAGCTGACCGGCTGGGCCTACAGTGCCTGGGTCATTCTGCCTTTACTCTGCTACCAGCCTTCCTAGCTTTGCTCTGGGGATTGCAGCATCCCGACTCTTGACAGGGTAAAGCTGGGACGATGGAGCAAGCAGAATGCAGTACATGTCATTGGGGATAATACTGATGGATTTGCTTATTTGCATATTAATTGCTGCACATGCTCCATATTTGTAAATACACTAAGGCTGTTGCAGCTTCTCAAGTGGCTGCTCCAGGGCAGTGCACTGTGAATAGCTTTTGGATTGCAGGTCAGCTGTCCTAGTGCTTGAAAAAATTTTCAGTTGACTGTTTTCTTTACATAGCCTGCAGTGAACAGGACTCAGAACCAGGAGCACGTCTGACCTGCCGGATTTTACTCCATCTATTTAAGACTCCACAGCTGAACCCATGCCAGCAAGATGGCAGTAAGTGAATCAAAGTAGAGCCTTTCTTTATTGTGCAAGTACTGAGGCTCTTGCATCTCAAGAAAAGAGGTACTGGATACTATGATTAGAGATCTTGACCTTCTTTGAATAAAGCACGTGAAGCCTGATACACTGCTTTCTGCAGAGGACAAAGAACAATATCCTTCCATTTATGTCATTCCATAGTAGCCAAGCATGTTGGGGAGGAGGCCCTTGGAGGAAGGAAACCAGCCAGTAGAGGTGGCCTTGCCGTCACTCAGCCATTAGAGTAGTGATCGCTTCTTTTTTTTTCATGTCTAGAGCTTTGTATAGCCGCTTGGTGCCAGAAGCTGCTATTTTACAGCACTCCCTTTTTGTCTGATGATGGAAACAGTTCAGGAAGCTCTGTTCTTGGTTCCTCACCAGTATCCTGGTAACTCAGATCTCTAAACCCAGCCTGTATTCTAGTTTAAGGGTACTGTTGGAGCTTGGAGTTCATGACACAGGCACTGTTCCCCATTTGGATTTCATGGTTCAGTTCTCACAGCGTGATTGGCACTATGCTTTGCAAAACTTAATTACATTGACCCCATGTTACAGTTGGGAAAAGGCCTATCCTCAGGATTCTCTGAGCTGGATTCTATGATACTGGCTGGCATATAGTTCAGGCAGCTCTGGAGCCTGCACCTGTCTCTCTTGCTGGGTATTGCCCTTCCCTATTGTCCTCCTTTGCAGGCAAACCGATGGTGGGAATCCGCTCTTACAGCTTCCCAGAATCGTATTGTGGATGGAGCAGTCTTTGCAGTGCTGAAGGCTGTCTTTGTTCTTGGTGTGTACCAGTGTTAGACTGAACCTGTAAGAATGGCTTTTAGGGGGGTGGGAGAAAAACACTGTATTGCATGTGTTGGCTGTACAGAAGGCCAGAGGAGATCTGTTTTGGTGGATATGTGATGTGTCTGAAGCACTTTGGCTGTGCCATAAACGTGCTTTGTATCTCTTAGCCACAGAGAGGTCACTGATTGCAGAGAGAGTTTGCAACAGCTCAAGATGTTTTGTGGGTCAGACTTTGAGTTTAAGCATTGATGATGAAGTGACACTTGTGCTTTTCTTGTAGGAGATGCAGAACTGAAAGGCTCTGGCTTTTCCCACCCTGGAGGTGTCGATGATCTCATGGATGATGAGCTGGGCACCAGGAAGTCTGGTAGTCGGGTAGTAACTGTAGAAACAGCTAGCTTGGATATTTATGCCAAGTATGTACTAAGGAGTATATGTCAACAGGTGAGTCTGTCCCATCTCTAGGTTTGTCCTTACCTCTTCTGCAGACAGATGTTTCCCATAGACTTTATGCAGATTGGGTTTGGCAGGTATTTCTTTGGAAGATCAATAAAGAACCTGTTATGGTTCTGCCATGTGATGGCGCTAAGGATTGCTCTCCATTAGCAAAAAATAGAGGCAAACAGTTAAGAATTAGGTGTTGCAGTATGCAGGGACTGCACATCCCCTTTGCTTTGGCAACAGCACAGGGCTCATGTCCAAGGACAGGAGTGCTGGGAGTGGTTTGCTGAGATGTGTGCTGGTGGCAAAGAAGATAAGTATGGGGAAGACAGCTTGTTGAAGTGATAATTGGTGCCTTTCAGAATGTAGCTTAAGTGTTGCTTGCAGCTAGTCTGTTAAAGTATCTCTGGGCTCTGCAGTGCCCTGTTTAGTTAATTAAAGGAACAAAACTAAAAATCTTTTGCTTAGCCTAATCTGACAGCACCAGTATTTCTGTTCCTTTGTGGAAAGTTGATGTTTGAGGAACTGAAACCTGGCTAATAAGGTACTTAGTTGCAGAGTGGAGTGGCTGTTACCATTACTGTATGAAAAGGAATGTTGAAGGGTGTCCTTGGCCTTATTTGCAAATTTATTCTGTCAACAGAAAAGATGCAGTTACAATTTGAAACCTGTATTCCCTACTACTAATGTGTAAACACAACACATTGGTACTGTGTTGTCCTTGTGCTTTGTGGTGCTGTTTTTTGTTAATTGGCTCGCTATATAGCAATGTTACCAACCTACCAAAGAAGAATTGGAACCACCTATTTACAAGTGTAAATTCAACATATTTGGTGTTACTGCAGCATTGACAGAAGTGGATATTTCCCTGCTGGTCCCAGTCTCTGTAGGAAGGACTCGCAGTAGGTAGATAGTGTGTGTGAGTGCAGGAGGGAGTAGCAGTGTCGGGTATCACTCCTCATACCAGTTGTTGGCAGTACTGGTTACGCAGGAGCGAGCATTCCAATAGACACGAGTGAGTGCCACCAAATTGTGCCAGAGCTCCTGCATCTGTAAAGGGCTGGTAGAATTATGTGTTTAATGTTAGTGTCTTCAGTGTGAATGGTGGATGCTGCAGAACTCACGCTATCAATTCTGGAATGTCTAAGGACATGGACATTCCTTAAACTATAGGTTGTGATTTCTCAACTCAGAAAATGTTGCATCTTATATTCAGGTGTATATTTTTTAGACTTCATCATGAGGGTGTGGGGAAAAGGAGTGGATTATATAGATTCAAGTTAAAAGTTTCTTAGGTGCAAATGATGTAGTTGCTGGTCTGCCCTTTAGCCTGTTTAAATTAATAAAGGTAATTGTGACTGCCCTTTTGAAAAGGTTAATTTCATAGAGCTGTGATAAACCACAGTGGGAACCAAGAGGGAAGCATGATTCAAAGGTGCTAACCTGAATCTGGTGATTGGGATGATAGAATTGTCCATAGTTCTTGGAAAACATGTTCATAGTGCTCTCCTGTGAAGAGGCAGATGAGGGGCCCTGCTTCAGTAATATGAAGCCCAAGGAAGTGGCTGGTTTGTAAAGAAGTGTTGCTGAGAGAGAGAGGCTAAAAGTCGCTCAAGGTTGAAGATGGTAGTTGAGTTCATACTTATTTGTGAGATTATACCAATAGAGTGGATCAGAGACAAAGTCTGAATTCTTGTAGGAAGCTTAGCAAGTGACAAAAAGGGTCTTCCCAAGGATATGCATATTATGTACACAAGGAAGAGAAGTTTTAAGAGATTATGATGTAGTGACACTGAAGGGAAGAAATGTAATAGGCATTGGAGAAATAACCAGATTACATGTGTTGGCAAAGTGGAAACTTCATCTGGGATGAAGTTGAAGATCTAGGCTGTGGTTTCATAAGGATTTCAAACCAGATATTTGGCCTTCCAATCTTTGTGCTCCACTTAATGTTTAGAGTGCTGTCTACTGCACTGAGAGGGACTGTTCCCAGCTTTCTAGGCTTAACACCAGCATCTGTGCTTCATGAACTGGATCCTCATCTCCTCTGGTCGTCACTTCTCAGTGGAAGAATTCTCTGATCAGGCTAGCTAGCTCTGCAGCTGCAGAAATGCTTATATAGCAGTCCTCTGTAGATTTTAATTTCATGAATTCGTCTAATTAATTTTCAATATGAAAAAATCCTGCAGTAATGAATGCTGCAGGCTAACTGTAAATTGTGTGAAGAAGTACCTACCTCATTTTTGTTTTGGAAACTGCTGCCTTTATTATTATCATACATTTAGAGACCACCAACTGAAATTGAGAGGCTGACAATAATAGTTTTCTGTCTACCTTCTCTTCATGTTTTGTTACTTTATAAATGGTTTGCATCCAATCAGTTGTTTCCCTTTCCAGGCTTTGAGAAGTAAAGTAATTGGTTTTTATTAAGGATGGTAGTGTGTTTTCCGTCATTATTTGAGAATTAAGGGGTGTGCTTTTCCCTAAGACATGTTCTATTTTAGCCTTAGCTGCAGCCATGAATTATTTAATTTAGGACAGCTCCAGGACTTTGTGCAGGAAATAAACCAGATAATTTTAAGTGATCCCTTCTCATATTTTGAGCCCAAGTGGCAATGTTGATGGAGCCTGGGCACGACAGTGACTGTGTACTGTTAAATCATACCAATATTTTATCAAAAGAAACAGTAGCTACTGTGTTTCATCACTGACTTCTTAAAGTTGGTGTTTTCTCTGTTGTGATTGCTGTGCTGTGCCTGACGCCTGCTGAATCAGGATAGGACAGCTCATGAAGAGAAATGATTATCAGGCATAACTGCGTGCTAATAAGGTTTTTATGAGCTTCGTGTTCTCTGTATCTCTTTGAGATTGAAAGTAGGGGCACTGGTTTGGAATCAGGCATCAGTTTGACTCTGCTGACTCTGCCCTCATCTTGCAGGAGTGGGTAGGTGAGCGATGTTTGAAGTCCCTCTGTGAAGACAGCAATGACTTACAGGATCCTGTCCTGAGCAGCACACAGGCCCAGAGGCTGATGCAGCTGATTTGTTATCCACACCGGCTGCTGGACAATGAGGAAGGAGAAAATCCTCAGCGGCAGAGGATTAAACGCATCTTACAGGTGCAGGCTCCTGGCAGAGTCTAAGGGTATCCTAGTAATTACCTAATCATAGAATCTTTAAGGTTGGAAAAGACCTCTAAGATCACAAAGTCCAACTGTCAACCCACCACCACCATGTCTACTAAACCATGTCCTGAAATGCCACCTCTACATGTTTTTTGAACACTTCCAGGGATGGTGATTCCACCACTTCTCTGGGCAGCCTGTTCCAATTCCTGACCACTCTTCCAGTGAAGAAATTTTTCCTAATATCCAATCTAAACCTCCCCCGATGGAACTTGAGACTATTTCCTCTTGTCGTTTTGCTAGTTACTTGGGAGAAGAGATCAACACCCACCTCACTACAACCTCCTTTGAGATAGTTGTAGAGAGCAATAAGATCTCCCCTCAGCCTCCTTCTCTCTAGGTTAAACAACCCCAGTTCCCTCAGCTGCTCCTCATAAGACTTGTGCTGCAGTCCTTTTACCAGCTTTGTTGCCCTTCTCTGGACATGCTTCAGCAGCTCAATGCCCTTCTTGTACTGAGGGGCTCAAAACTGAACACAGTATTTGAGGTGCGGCCTCACCAGAGCCGAGTACAGAGGCACAATCACATCCCTGCTCCTGCTTGCCATGCTGTTCCTGATACAAGCCAGGATGCTGTTGGCCTTCTTGGCCACCTGGGCATGCTGCTGGCTCATGTTCAGCCAGCTGTCAACCAGCACCCCCAGTCCTTTTTCACTAGGCAGCTTTCCAACCACTCTTCCCCAAGTCTGTAGCATTTAATGGAGTGGTTGTGACCAAAGTGCATGACCCAGCACTTGGCCTTGTTAAACCTCATACAGTTGGCCTTGGCCCATTGATCCAGCCTGTCCAGATTCCTCTGCAGAGCCTTCCTACCCTCCTGCTCCTAATGTAGCATTAGAATGGGGTTGTCCAAAAGGCATCCCTCTGAGGGGTCTGACACTCATTGTTGTGGGAGCTGAGGGTGTGAGTTGACATAGTTTGAACTGAGATAAGGACTCTCATGAAGTATGCGTGCATGTGTTGCAGAATCTGGACCAGTGGACCATGAGGCAGTCCTCACTGGAGCTGCAGCTCATGATTAAGCAGACGGCAAACAATGTGAGTTTCTGCTCAAGAGGGACTATACAGGGATGTGTGTTGCCATTGTTGAAGTGGCTGCTTGCGAGGTGGTGGGGAGGTGGCATGACAGAAGTGGGAATAGGGAGAAAGTAAACAAAGAGGGAGTCAGATCTGCGAAAGCCAAGCATGAGAAGGATGCAATGAGTCTGAGACCCAAAGAGCAGCAGCCATGGGGAAGCTGGCAAACTGGGTATGTACTGAGTTGTGTTGAAATGTGCAAACCCTGTCAGTGGGTGCTCTCAGAGAACGACTTGGCTGTCTTGTCTTCCCTATCTCCAGGAGATGAACTCCTTGTTAGAAAATATAGCCAAGGCCACTATTGAGGTATTCCAGCAGTCAGCAGAAACCAGCTCTGCTAGCTCTGCTGGCAATGGAGTCAACAATATCAGTAGTTCAGCAAGTGCTACACCTGCCAGCAACAAATCCAAACCCATCCTCAGGTAGGTGTAGTCCCAGCATGCAGCTGCCTTGTAGACGAGTCTGAATTATAGGTTGGATTGCAAATTGCTTCTCTCTCCTGTGTTGTCACAGCTCCCTGGAAAGATCAGGAGTGTGGCTGGTGGCCCCTTTGATTGCCAAGCTTCCAACATCAGTGCAGGGCCATGTGCTGAAAGCTGCTGGCGAGGAACTAGAGAAAGGACAACATCTGGGGTCATCATCCCGCAAAGAGCGGGACCGCCAGAAGCAGAAGAGGTGAGTCCTGGAGAAAGGACAGGCAATGCTTGCTGTGGTGATCCCCCCCAGCCTGGCAGTATAGCTCCATCTCTGTTGTCCCTGCAGCATGTCCCTCCTGAGCCAACAGCCATTTCTATCACTGGTACTAACATGCTTGAAAGGACAGGACGAGCAGCGGGAAGGCCTCCTCACCTCTCTGTACAGTCAGGTCCAGCAGGTAGGTGTCTTAATTCTCCTCTTGCTTCCTCAAGGTCCTGCTCCTCCAGCAGGCAGGCTATTGGGCATGTTCTCGGGGATGTTGTCTGTCTGATTATACGCTCAATAAGGCAAAGATCTTAGCCTGGTTGGTATAGGGTGCTTGAGCTGACCATCTCTAAGTCACTGAACAGTAAGCAGTACAAGCTGTTCTCTATAAACTTCAGCATGCAGCTTTTGTGAGGTCTGTCCTCTCTTCTAAATTTCTTAGATCGTTACGAATTGGCGGGAAGATCAGTACCAAGATGACTGCAAAGCCAAGCAGCTGATGCATGAGGCCCTGAAACTACGACTGAATTTGGTGAGCAGGTGTAGAAAAAGAGATTAACCATATGGGGTGAAGAGTTGTTTGCCTTTTTTCCTTTTTTTTTTTTTTTTTTTGGAACACACACACACTGGAGGGGCTATATATGTCCTGAGGCAAGGAAATAGGAGGTCGCAAGCCCTGAGTGGGATAGAGTGCGTGGAAGAACTCCCTTGCTCTGTTTCGCCAATATGAAATCCACAGCTTTGGTCTCTGTTTTGGAGATGTGCCTTCCCATTTCAGTACTTCCACAGCACTACTACTTGCGTCTGAGGTTTGTCCAGCTAACTGCAGTCTCTTTCAGCTCTCAGTAGGAGTTGCTGTAGCACAGGAGTTGATGTGGTTTAGGCTCCTTTCGCATTTTTAAATCTTTGTGTTTCTTCATGGTGTCCTTGTGACTAAATTACTTTTCTTTGCCAGGTAGGGGGAATGTTTGACACAGTTCAACGCAGTACACAGCAGACGACTGAATGGGCTGTGCTTCTCCTGGACATCATCAGCAGTGGCACCGTGGACATGCAGTCAAACAAGTAACTTTCTGGCTGACTTCTAATCCATACATTTCTGAAGGGAGGCAGTCATTAGCATGGCCCCTTTTCTCATGTGAACTAACTGTGTCTCTAGATGACCTGTCAGAAGGACTGTGACAGCCAAAAGAGATTTCAGAGTAATAGCAGGCTACAACCTAGGTTGTAGTATCCAAGTGCACTCTGACATACCCACAGCAAACTTGGCTTTCCAGATGCAGAGAGATAAGCAAGGGAGAGCTGAGCCTGGACCTGCTTTTTTGGAGCAGCTGAATGGATAGTCAGGAGGCCAGTCTTAATCTGTGATACTGCATTTGACTTAAGTGTGAACACCCTGTGGTTAGTCTGAAGAGCACTTTGCAGTTCTGATTATAGGCAGTATGCTTGGCGGCAATAAACAATATTTAGTGTTACTATGATGCAGAGGCTTTATGTCTGCTTCTCAGGTGACTTTGACTTTTCTGCTCTGACCAACAGTGAGCTCTTCACCACCGTGTTGGATATGCTGAGTGTTCTCATCAATGGCACCTTGGCTGCTGATATGTCCAGCATTTCTCAGGGCAGCATGGAAGAGAACAAGCGGGCATACATGAATCTTGTCAAGAAACTCAGGGTGAGGGACATGTATGGGGAGCAGTGTATGCTGTGTCATGGTTGTCCGACTATGCAGATTTACCTGTGTCTCATGAATAGTACTTATCCTGTTGCTGCTGTTTAGATGAAGCAGTTAGGGTGGACCCAGTGGCTCTGTAGGGCTGAAGGGCGCAAAGGTGAGAGGTAATGCAGGGATGGAGGTTGACACCAGAAGAGGCGCAGGTGAGCTTTGGATGATTTTTCCTGATTTTTGAAGTCTTCTCTATTCCACTTGTGCAGAAAGAGCTGGGGGATCGGCAATCTGACAGCCTGGAGAAGGTGCGACAGCTACTGCCACTTCCAAAGCAGACCCGGGATGTCATCACCTGTGAACCTCAGGGATCCCTCATTGACACCAAAGGCAATAAAATAGCTGGATTTGACTCCATCTTCAAGAAGGAGGTAAGTGAAGCTTTTTTTTTTTTTCCCTGCATCACAGCTCCTGAGTGCCTTGAGTTTACACAGCTTGGGAGGCATCTGTATGCAGTGCACTGTTGCCTGCTGAGGTTGATGTGGCTGGCTGCACACAGACGAGCTGGCACATGACCATGTCCAAAAAGGGCAAAGCTGGGCGTTAATGCTTGGTGATACATGCTTCTATGGCCTGAGAAGTTATTTAAACTTTGGTTTTGTACTTATGGCTATATAAAGCATAAAGAGAAACCCGTATTCCCTGTCATGTGAGTTACTGGGCAGTGCTAGTGTGCAGAAAGCTGGCAGAGATGGGATGAAGGAGACCAGCCGTTGTTGACTGCTTTGCCATGTGGAGGAACAGGGCCCACTAATACGGGCTCAGGCTGTGTACTGGGACACGTGGAGTAGAGCCTGAAGAAAGCATAGAATTTCCTGTACCCTTGTAGGAGAAACAACAGGGACTTGGAGGTTCTTACCCCTTTTGCTTTAAAGGGCTTGCAGGTCTCTACAAAGCAGAAGATTTCCCCTTGGGATCTGTTTGAGGGCTTAAAGCACTCAGCCCCCCTCTCCTGGGGATGGTTTGGGACAGTCCGGGTGGATCGCAAGGTGTCTAGATTTGAGGAGCAGCAGAGGCTTCTTCTGTACCACACACACTTGAAACCCAAGCCCCGCAGTTACTACCTGGAGCCGTTGCCACTGCCCCCTGAAGAGGAAGAGCCTCCTACACCTGTGGCTTTAGAGCCAGAGAAGAAAGCTGTGGAACCAGCCAAGGCTGATAAAACAAGCTCCAATCCTGCCACCTCTACTGAGGAACGCAAGAAAAAACAGAGCAAAACCAAGAAACGCAACCAATCTGCCAGCAAAACTGAGGTAATTGACTGCATGGACCTCCCATGTCTACCCTTCCTAGTCAGAGCACTCCCTTGAGTCTTCCTGAGGAGTCTGAGGGTGGTATAATGGTGAAGATAGGATGTGTTTCCTCTCACCTGGGGGTGCTGGACCTCTATCCTGCTCTCTCTAGCCTGGGGCACAGCAAACATTTTTTTAATCCCTGATGGGAGGAGAGGAGGCTGCCCAGCTCAGATAACATCCCAGGCTTCCTCCTATGTACTTTGCAACCTTTTCGTACTCCTCATCCATTCATTAATTCACGGTGCACATTGATCTTTCTTAATCCTTCGTTGTCTTTGCAGGATTTTGTGTTGGGCCCTAGCCGAGGGGTTTCATATGGAGTTGGTATGCCTACAGATCTCTTGCACCACCAGTCAGGAAGCACTATCTCAAGGCTGGCATATGGGCAGTCACCAGTGGGTCTCTATGCCCAGAATCAGCCTCTTCCAGCAGGTAGGTGCACAGGAGAGGTGAGCATGTTGTACCTCTGGGAACCTCTTGTAAGAACCCCTTCTGTGAGATGGTTCTATGCAGGTCCCTACGCTTTCTGTTTTGCCTGTCATATGTCTAGATACAGTGATGAACAGTCATTCTGGAGCTACAAGCCTCAGCAATAGCACGTGACTAGTCGGCCTGTTTCTCTTCCTCTTGCAGGTGGCCCTCGCCTGGATACATCCTACAGACCTGTACGCATGCCACTGGGAAAACTTGTTCAGAGTCGTCCTCCCTACAGTGGTGTGCTGCCCCCAGGGATGGGGACCATGATGGGCATTGACCCTTCCTACAAGCCAGCAGTATACAGACAGCAGCCTCCAGTGTCCCAGGGACAGATACTGAGGCAGCAGCTTCAAGCAAAGTTGGTAAGTCAGATCTGTGCTCTTGGTGTTGCTGGGCCTCACAGTACGGCAAGCCCAAGCTGTTTGCTGGAGCTATTGTTTTTTTGCTAGAACTCTCCAATCTTGTCTTTGTTTTTGCCCTGGAAAGATGTTCTCTTGTGTCTATTCCTCTGGTGCAGCACTGTGTTTCCCACCTGCTTTTTGGGCCCACGTCACTAACAGTTGGTGGAGGCTGTCAGTGAGGTACACTGGGACATCTGTGGCTGTTGGGCAGCGAGAGGGGCACATCCTTACTGTGGGGTGTTAGGGATGTTAGTGACTTGTTTGTCCCAAGTCAGGGTGAGACAGAAGTCATTTGCATCTGCATGCTGTGCAGCAGCCTTGTAGGTTTAGCAGTGAAGCTACTTGTCTGTTTTGGTGGGAGCTGCTGAGAAGAGAGCAGCAGTGTCCTGTCCTTTGGAGATGTTGAAAAAAGTGTTCCTCTATTGCTTTCCAGCAGGGACAAGGCATAATGGGACAGCAGCCTGTGCGCCAGATGGCTCCAACCCCATCCTATGGAGCACTGCAGCCCTCCCAGGTAAGTGGCAGTGACCACAGGTAAGACTGGAATCTGGCTCCAGGACAGGGCAGCATCTTTGTTTCTGCTGCTAAATTCTGAAACCTCTCACTCCTCATTTACTGGGCAGCATGAATCTGAATCCCAGAGATGAGCAGCCTTGTGACAGTACTTACAGGAGGCTGATGTCCTGTGTTCCACTTTCTCTTTTTTGTACCTTACCCTATGACTGATAAAGGCTTTTTGTTTCATTTCAGGGTTACACACCTTATGTCTCCCACATAGGCCTTCAGCAGCACCCCTCCCAGTCAGGCACGATGGTACCTCCTACCTATTCTGGCCAGCCCTATCAGAATTCTCACCCCAGCTCTAATCCTGCCCTGGTAGATCCTGTTAGACAGATGCAGCAGAGACCAAGCGGCTATGTACACCAGCAGGCCCCTGGCTATGGGCACACCTTGGGCACCACACAGAGGTACCTCTCACCCTACTGGATGTTAATAAGCTGTGTTTCATCAAGGGCTTCCCCACTCTGCTCAGACAACCCTAACAGCAATCTATGAAAAGCCTGTTCTCTGTGCTGTGTTATGCAGCCTCTGAGTCCTTCTCACCCTCAGGGGAACACTGTTATCCAGCTTTCAGTCCTGGGAAGAAACAGAGACACAGGATGAAATCCATAGATGCTAGTTGCAGGCAGGAGACAGTGTTACCAGCCAGAGAAAGATGGAATTGGGAAGTGTGAGAAAAATGACCTGGGAAGGTCATAGTCTTGGTTTTAAATCTAACTAGCAGATCACCATCTACAGGCTAGATCTGGGATTTACACTGCTCCTGAGCAGGCATATATCCAGCAGGGAAACCATGCAGAACAGTGGGCCAAGGACTGTTACTTAGGGCTTTTAGAAAAACAGGTTGGATTAAATCCTTGAGAGTCACTGGTGTTTCTCATCTTTCTGTAGAGAGGCAGCATGGATTGTGAGAGGCTGTTTGGGGTGTTTATCTTGCTGTTGGATGACAGAAGTTGGGTTTGGATTGAAGAAGCTGTCTGCCTATGAATATTTTACTCCATGAGCTTGTCCTTTTCTCATGCAGATTTCCTCACCAGTCAATACAGCAGGCTCCTATGATGAGTGGGATGAATCATTTGGGTCCCCAAGGAGTCCCCTCAGGAATTCGACCCAGCCAGATACTGCCTGACCAGCAGCAGCAGTACCTGAGGCAGCAGCAACAGCAGCAGCAGATGCTGAGGGTGAGTGGTTGCTGACAGAAGCAAGGCTGCTGGAGCTGGACAAGGCTTGCCCAACACCGCTTACGTCTGTGTCAGCAATGTTCTGCTCTGTCCCTCTGTGTCAGGAAGGTTGTCAACTGTATTGGGGGCTGTCTGTAATAATTTGCTATGGGGCTCTCCCTTCCTTAGAGCTGGCCACTCCTGGTGGAGATATCTGCCACACTGCCTTTTGCTAGTCACCCAGTGTGAGCTAAAGGGAATTTAGGAGTAAAGGTCTGTTTAGTTCTCTGTGGCCTACATCCCACTTCTTCCTGCTCCAGCTGGGCCCATAAGATTGTACAGAAAGCTAGCTGTCTTAGAACTGTTGCAGGAGCTAGAAACAAGGTGAAAATGTTCCTGCCCACACAAGAGCAGGTAGAGTTGTTCCTTACAAGATCATTTTTAGGAGCATATCCACATTTTTACAAGATAAAAATAACTGTTGGTTGCAGTTTCCAATGTCAGGAAATCTGTGAATCAGTCCATGTACTCAGCATCTAACAGTGGATGTTGAATAACTGATCCAAAGTAAGCTGTTAGACCCAACTTTCTAGGTTCATAGAAGTTCACAGGTGTGTGTCAACAGACATGAGTATTCCATGGATTTGCATTATGGTCTTAACGAATATTAAATACTTGTATGATACACAGATATGAATACATTTCTTGGAGTTACAGGAATGTATTGAATTGACAGAGAAACACAGAAATAGTTTGAATTAATTGGTGAATTGCATACCTTATGACAAGGCCTAGCAAACCTGTAGAATATAGGGAGACTACATGGCATGGAGTGCTGAGGCTTTGTGTTCTGAGAGGGACCTGAGCAAGACAGTGGTTCCTGCAGAGAGCTGCAGTCAGCAGTATTTGAGAATTGCTGCCTTGCACTGGACAAGAGACTGCCTGTAGCATGGTCAGCAGCTGTTAGTCCTTTTGATGAGTAGCACCCCCTGACTATTCAGTTGGTTTCTTTTAGTGTTCTTCATCACTCATATTTAGAAAAAGAACATGTGTCAGACAAATTGCTAGCACTTCTCCTAGCTCAGTAACTTCATGTATACCTTCAGCTTTTAGCTGACATTGGTTGCTAAAAAAAAAAAAAAAAATGGAGTGTGCAAAATCTGCCCTGTTATTGTGACTCCTGCTGCATTATCAGAGGCATACGAGATGCAGAACAGAATCATGGTGCTTGAGTTGACTGTTATGGTGCAGTGGCTTGTAGAAAGGATGAATGGCCTTTTGGTTTGTCTTGCCATGGGTTGGTAGTCAGCTGTTGCAACAAGGTAGGACGTGGAATCAGGAGGGATATCTTGGCTCATTTAGTCATCTGCTTTCTTGTGTACCCAGGTCATAGCATCCATTTCATGAACCTAAGTGGCCAAACTGGTTTGAGATGAAAGTTAGGAGGCTGTTTTATAAACTCACTCCCTTTGGGTTGAATCCATGATCCAAGCCTCAGTGTGTTTTGTGACTGGTTCTTCTATCCAATTATTATTGTCCACTGTGTTCTGTTGTTTACTGGCTCTTCTTTCTCTGATGTTTACCCAATGTATTCCTAGGGAGCACTTGCAGTTTCCATAGGTCAGGTTTTTCTAACCTCCTCTTATAAGATACTGTCCCTTCTCTTGATTGTATTTTTGTCTGTATTCTGAGTCTGTTCAAGGTTTGAAACTTACCCTTTTGACCAAGTGATTGGAACTGCACCTAGCAGCATCACCATGTTGTGGTTTTTATGATAGCATTAGTAGTTTTCTATTTCTGCTAGAAATTCTTCTGTTGATCTAGAGAATTCAAAACTGCATTGGCAAATGGGAGAAATGTCTGAAAATTAGGAGAAATTAAAAAACCTTGAGATTTGTGGATATATTCTGACTCCAAGTTCAACATGCTGAATATTATTCTCACTGTAACTAGTTCTGTCAACATCTAGGTTGAAGCACTGCATCCAATTTTATCTGTATCCTTTTACTGAAGTGCAACACCAGCTGGCATGAAGGACAGAGAAGGGTAGCAAGACAGATTGAAGAGTTGGGGAATGTGACTGAGAAGGAAAGGCTGAAATACCTGGGCATCGAATTAAGAGAGGCAGAGACAAGAGGAGAGACAAGTCTCCAAATTTTTGTCTACAAAAAAAGCCAGAGAGACTTTATCTGTTCTTGTGCCTTGACTGTAGGACAAGAAATGGCCTTAAATCATAACATGTGAGATTCAAAGTAGAGATTAGGGAAAACTCTAGTAGTAGGAGTAACTGTGACCTGGAGTGGATTGCGTAGGAAGGTTATAGGAGCTCTGTTGCTACCTCTGGAATAATTTTGAGAACAGGTCAGGCAAATACTCACTGAAATCAGTACTGCTGATCTTAACCAGGAGGCAAGAGATGAACCAGCCAACCTCTTGATGTAGCTCTTAATTGTTTTCTATTCTTGTATCTTGTTTGCCCTGGTCATTCCCCAGCTGACCAGTAGACCTGTAGTTCTCTTCCTGCCATCTGTCGGTACCTCATCCTGCAGAAGAACTTCGTTACTGTCTCTGTATTTCTTGCGTCCTGGTGAAATTTGGGTAATATAGGTACCTGTAAGGAAAATGGTGTAAGAGGGTATGTTACTGCATGGAATGATTTCTTCTTCGGCCCTTCCTGTGCCCTGTTGCTGTGTGCGTTGCCCAGACAGTTCCCTGATGGTCCCTTCTCTTTTGTCTTTGCAGCAACAGCAGCAGCAGCAACAGCAGCAGCAGCAGCAGCAGCAGCAACAGCAACCCCAGGTCTCCACAGTGCCTCAGCCACAGGCACAGGGCCAGCCCCCAGGGCTGGGGATGCAGGCTCTTCCCCCTCAGCAGCCCATTGTGAGTGTTCTCTTGGAGACAGAGGGACCTGATAGTCCAGCACAAATCCAACGGTGCTCTACCTGCATCACCTCTATCTCCCTCTCCTGTGCTTCCCAGGGCTTGTGTGAATGCCGAGCCTGCCTGGCTATAACTATGTCTCTCTCTTTGCAGTTCCAGCGCCAGGGCCTTCAGCAGACACAGCAGCAGCAGCAAACAGCTGCTCTGGTTCGACAGCTTCAACAGCAGCTTTCCAGTAAGCCCTAGTGTTCTTGATGCTGTCCCTAGTCTCCTCCCCACTTTTTTTCTTCTGCTGGTACCCTGGTGTAGAGAAGCAAGGCCAAGCCAGACTGTCTGAGGCCCACAAATGATGCTGTCAGGGAGGTGGCATCAGGACTTAGAGCTTCTGGCCCAAAGGGGCGCAGCAGCAGAGCAGGCAGTGCTTGCCAGCTTGTGAGCAACCTTCCAGACCTTCCTTCTGCTGCCGGCAGAGGGATGAGGGAGCTGAGCCTTTTTAGGAGGTGCCATGCAGCTTTCCTGAAAGCATCCAGTCTGCAGCTTTAAAGCATTGAGGTATTTCCTCTGCTGCAGATGACCACTGGGAAGCTGTAATCCTGGGGCACTCACTTGATGGATGACCCACAGATACTGTGTTTGTGTTGTGATCAGGACACAAACTGGATGCAGGGAGGGCACTCTGGGAAGTGTTGCTGCACACTTGCTGTGTTTGCCGTGTTCTGTGGACTTTTGTGGCTGCTGTCACTGACAGGGTAATGGCATAGATGGTGTTCAGTCTGGCACTGTATTCCTATAATCTGCATTGAACTACTGGCTGGGAGATCTAGAAACAAAACCCAGTGTCTGTGCTGTTCCCTTCTGAATGGTCTGCTGTTGTACTGTCACCTCACTGGCTTTTCTCACATAAAAATGTCAGACATGCTATGAAAATGCCCAGAAATGGACTACACATTTTTTTAATGCACTGCATTAAGTGTGAGACTGTGCTAGACGTAATGATGTGTGGAGTATGGACTTGGAAATTGTGCTTATACTTGTTCCCGATGGAAAATTTTTAGTCCTCATGATCAAAAAACCCTCCCCAAACCACAAGTTTTAATGTGCTAAATTTCCCACTAGGCCTGATTCACAAACCACAAGTCTGTGCAAGAATCCCAGCCAGGACATTCAAGTATAGGAAGACCTCATATAAGAATCTGAATATAGCAGATTAGCCATATTTTTGTATCCGGTCTGTACAGCAAACAGAGCTGTTCTATATGCAACAGATGTGTGGGTCCAGTGCAGCCATGTGTCAGCATGCAGCTTCTACGCTCCCTCATTGGGTTTGCATCAATTCCATCTGTAGGACAGGGACAAGAATACTTTGGGCCCAGGATAGGCTGTGTTAGGAGGCTCCAGGGTATCCCTGAATGTGCTGTTGTCCAGCAGAGTTGAGACAGAGAGCAGGCTAGCCAGGTTACACTGGTCTCCTTTTACTTAGTCTGACTTAGGGTCAAACATACTGATTGGGTTTCAGGAAAAAAACTACAGAATTTTATTAATTGGACAGTACCCAAGTATACTGTGAGCACATCACAAAACATCAGTCCCATCAGTTTGGAAGTTCATGTTCTTGAATATAGCTGTACCATGTTTCCTGCCCTTTTTGTGCCACCTGGCAGTCTTTTGGCCATGTCCTTCATTTGTACCGAGATACTGACAGGGATCCAGGATAGTTGTCTCTGAAAGCTTCACAAACTGGTTTCTGGGTGTGCCTCAGGATGAGTGACACTGGCTGTCTGAGCAATTTGTATGGCTGCAGGTGCTGTGCAATCTTCACAGATTTTCTTTCAAATTCAGAAATAAATCATCCATAAACTCATCCTCCAAGCTAGCTGCCACCTTTCAGGGCTTTGTTATGATGCAGCAATTCCGCCATGAGGGATGGAGAGATCTTCTCTGGAGAAGCTTCAGGATCAGGACTGGCACATATCTATCTCTTCCTCAAAGAATGTGGGATCCTGACTGTGCTGCTGCATAATGGCTCAGATGAATGAGCAGAGCAGGGAGTGCCATAAGGATTGTCTTTTCTTCTCACAGCTTGTGACATGTTCCTCATACTGTGCTGGTGATGAGGAGAGGGATCTGTTTTCTGCACCAGACCTTGTGACTGTCTAACTCTCTGTCTTGACCTCAACAGATACACAGACACAGCAGAACAACAACCCGTTTGGACGCTACTGATCTGTGGCATTTCAGCCTGATCCAGGAGGGGGAGATATCATTGTGGACTGGAGACAGCATCTTCAGCCTGACCCACAAGCGGGGGCTGCTGCCAATCTTTGTCCTTGGCCTGTGCCCTCAGTGCTGCTGCTGCCTGTCTCACAGGAGATGCCAGGAGGATGGTTTTATTGTACAGAGAAAGTGTTTTTACAATTCAATTTCTACAAATGTTTATGGAGATCCTGTGTGGCTGATAGTCTCCCTTCTCACTTTGGTTTCAGTTTTTACTCAGTTTTTAGTATTTTTGTTAAAATAATGATTAAGACATTGTAAAATTTTGTACTTTATTTATACCAGATGAACCCCGTACTGCAGACATTCTTGGATGAATACAGAGAGCTTACTTTGCAAAAGGAGTGTGTTTTCAGAGCCTGCCTTTCCTCCTCTGTGCTCTTCCCAGTACAGCCCAGCAGCACCTCTACACATGGCCTTTATCTCTTTCTCAATAGAACTAATGTCTGCATTTTCAGCTTTTGTGAACGGGTAAACAATTTGGTTTGGGAAAGAAAGCCCTTTTTCCCTGTTTGGTTCATATGCTTGCAAGGGTTTGTGCAAGCTTTGTAGGATTTGTTAAAGCTCTTAGCTAACATACTAGTAGTCTGTGGCATGTTCCACCAAGACAGAGGTATAAACCAAAGAGGGAGTTAGGACTCACATTGCAGGGTAATTCTAACAAGCCCAGCTTTCCAGCCAGATCAGTTAATGAGATGCTCAAGCTAGTACCCCTTCGGTCTAGGAGGAGCTGAGACCAAGTGCACTCACAACACTATCTACAGCAACACTGTCCATGTTGCTGACAAAGATGTCAAACAGTGCTGGTCCCAGTACTGACCCCTGAGGAACACCACTCATCACTGAACTCCATGTGGACATTGAGCTGTTAACTGCGACTCTTTGAGTGTGACCATCCGGTCAATTCCTTATCCACCGAGTGGTCCATCTGTCAAATACATGTGTTTCCAATTTAGAGACAAGGGTGTCACGCAGGACAGCATCAAATGCTTTGCACAAGTCCAGGTAGTCTGTCACTCTTCCCTTGTCCACCAATGCTGTAACCCCATCATAGAAGGCCACCAAATTTGTTAGGCACAATTCGCCCTTAGTGAAGCCATGTTGACTGTCACCAATCACCTCCTTATTTTCCATGTGTCTAAGCATAGTTTCCAGAAGGATCTGCTCCGTGATCTTGCCAGGCACAGAGGTGAGACTGACTGGTCTGTAGTTCCCTGGGTCTTCCTTTTTTCCCCTTTTTAAAAATGGAGGTTATGTTTCCCCTTTTCCAGTCAGTGGAACTTCATGGGACTGCCATGCACTGCCCTTGCAGCTGCATCAGGCTCCCTGCCATGTTGCAGGTGGGTGCAAGGTGTTGCTGGCCCGGCCTGTTGGAGATGGGCTCTCTTGTTAATGAGAACAGGTATGTGTACAGGACTGGTTCCTCTGTGCCTCCTTGCTTGTCCCCTTCCATGAGGATCAGTCTGGGGAGCCGCCTCAAGCTGGCTGTTAGGAGCAGGCTGTCTGGTCTCCCATTCCCTCATGCTCCAGGGGAGGCCAGGGGCTCTGCTTGCTCACGGCCTGTGCTGGGTGGCCCCAGAGGTGGAAGCCATGGTCATGGTTGTACCAGCTGGCCACTGCTCTGAGGGACTCGCGGCTGAGGCAGGAGGAGGGCTGTGCTCCTCCTGGGGTGTGGGCAGGGATTGCCCCAGGGCCAGCGGAGCCACAGCCTGCGGGGGCTGTGCACTGTCTCTAGGCTGAACAAGCCCCTTTTCCTGGCGGCTGCGGCTGTGGTGAGAGGCCCCCTCTGCTGGCCCTGGGAGGCAGCTGAGCTTGTGCCAAGTGGCATCTTGGATGCTGCCTTCTGCATCGCTGCCGTGCCAGAGGTGGGAGGAGGGCAGCTCTCCGCAGTAGTCAGCACCGGAGCGGGGTGGCAGAAGGCAGCACGGCCATGGGCAGCTCTGGGTAGGAGTGCAGTGGGGTGCAGCTTGCATGGTGGCTGTGGCAGGGCTGGAGTGCTGCAGCAGGAGAGCATGGGTGCTGACCTCGTGCTTTGTGCCCTTCAGGGCCCCAGGG